ACAGGATCGTCTTCTCGAGGCTTCTTGGGCCGGCATGGGAAGCGCATGTGCCTTGGTGTATCTCTTTAATGATCCATTCCGCCTCTGCCGGGCCTAGGCATCTCAGGTATGCACCTGAGAAAGACCTCTTGTGCAGCTGTTCTCCTATCATGCTGTAGTGGGCCGCCTTTCGCTTGATCAGCTTGGCCTGGGCCTCGTCGTTGGGCAATGCATCCCTTTGCAGGTAGGCGACTATGGGGGACCGCCAGTCCGTACCTTCTTCTTCCACAGCTAGGACCCCTTCCCCAGCTGGGGCTTCTTTTGTGACAACAATCTGACGGTCGCCCTCGAAATCCATGGCGGTCGCCAGTTTGGATAGGGCGTCCTCGTGGTGATTGTCTTCTCTTTTTACATGCTCTAGCTTCCACTCCTCTAGCTGAGAGAGGACGCCCCTGACTTCATCGGCTAGCTTGATCAATGCTTCTTCTTTGGCCTCGTAGTTTTCCAGGACTTGATTTACCACTAGAAGGGAGTCAGAGCAGATGTGGAGACGCGTGGCGCCCATTCCCATGGCGATTCTGAGACCGTTCAGGAGGGCTTCATACTCCGCGACATTGTTAGTCTTCAGCTCCTGGAATCTGTGCGAGAATTCATGTATGACTCCCCGTGGCGACTCGAGGACGATGCCGGCTCCTGCTCCGCTCTTACCGGCGGCTCCGTCCACAAATAGGCGCCACGTTTCGCTCTGCCCCCCTTCTGCCGAGGTGTCGAGGCTAAATCCCTCCGCCACGAAGTCTGCGAGGACCTGGCCTTTTATGGAGGGGCGCGGAGCGTACGAGATGTCATACTCACTGAGCTCGACCGCCCATTTGGTCATCCTTCAGGAGGCGTCGAGACTTCTGAGTATCCTCTTTAGTGGCAGGTTGGTGAGGACTGTGATGGGGTGCCCCTGAAAGTAGGGGCGCAGCTTCCTTGCTGCTGAGACGACGGCCAGGACCGCCCGCTCAATAGGCATGTAGCGCCTTTCTGCCGGAAGAAGGGCTTTGCTGACATAGTATACGGGACGGTCCGTGGCATCGGCGTCTCTTCTCACCAAGGCTGAGCTGACCGCCTGTTCGGAGACCGCCAGATACAGATACTGGGGCTCTGCCTGAACGGGAGCACTTAGGACGGGTGGGGAGGCGAGCTGTTCCGTCAGCTGGAAGAAAGCCTTGTCACACTCGGGACCCCACTGTGACCGCGAGGCGGATTTTTTCAGCATTTGGAAAAATGGGGAGCACTTGTCGGCCGCTCGGGGGACGAAGCGGCTCAAGGCGGCCATTTTTCTGTTGAACGCTTGAATCTCCTTCACCGTCCGTGGCGGTTTCAGGTTGAGTATTGCCTCGATCTGCTTGGGATTCGCCTCTATCCCTCTGTGGGTGATCATAAAGCCTAAGAATTTTCCCGCCTTTGCTCCAAATACACACTTCAGCGGGTTAAGCCGGAGGCGCTCTCTCCTGAGTGTCTCGAATGTCTCCCTCAGATCGGCAAGGTGGTCTGACCCTTTCTTGCTTTTGACCAGGACGTCATCGACGTATGCTTCCACGTTCCTGTCGAACTGCTTGTGGAAAACCGCATCAATCATTCTCTGATACGTTGCTCCTGCGTTCTTCAGGCCGAAAGGCATGACCGTGTAGCAAAAGTTTCCCATGTGTGTCATGAAGGTCGTTTTTTCTTGGTCTTCCTCCGACAGGCGTATCTGATGGTAGCCGGAGAACATGTCGAGGAAGCTTAGGGTTTCATGGTTCGCAGTCGCATCGATCAGCTGATCAATCCTGGGGAGGGGGTATGCGTCTTTCGGACAGGCTGCGTTGAGGCTGGTAAAGTCGATGCACATCCGCCAGAGCTCTGACGCCTTGCGCACAAAGACGGGATTAGCTAGCCATGTTGGGTACTTGACTTCCCTGATGAAGCCTGCCTTTAGCAGGCGCTTCACCTCCTCCTCTAATGCCATCTGCTTTTCAAGCGACGCGTTCCTCCTTCTCTGTTGCACAGGCCGCGCCTTGCTTTTTACGGACAGGGAGTGCTCCACAAGCTCTCTCGGGACGCCGGGCATGTCTTCTGACGTCCAAGCGAAAAGGTCCTTGAACTCCCGCAGGAGTGACAGGAGTTCCCGTGCCCGTTCCTCTGCCAGGTGAGCAGCGATTCTGACCTTTTTCTCCGGCTCTTCATCTTCCAAGACGACGGCTACATCTTCCTCGGCCGCCTCAGGACGGGGATGGTTTCCCCGCGCGTCCACCTGGTCAACCTCCAGGCTTTGGATGGTGGCCTGATAGCATTCCTTTGCCTGCTGGGAGTCGCCCAGGACGCGTCCTACCCTGCCCCGAGTGGGGAATTTAAGCATCTGATGGCAAGTTGAGAGAACCGCCGAGAAGGTTGACAAAAAGCCGCGTCCTAGGATGGCGTTATACGCGGATGGACAGTCTGCTACATGGAAGTCCATGAGGCGTGTTTTGGTTGCCCCTGGTTCCCCAATAGTTACCTGGAGGGTAATGGAGCCGAGGACTCTAACTTTAGAGCCGGAGAATCCCACCAGACTGGTTGTAGACGGTTTGAGGTCTTGAATCCCCTTCTTCATGCTTTTCAGGGTAGAGTAAAACAGAATATCCGCCGAGCTTCCATTGTCGACCAAGGCTCTGGTGACCTTGAACTTTTTCGTCCTGAATGATATGACCAAGGGGTCATCTCCACACTCCTCGGGTGCCAGTTCCGAAGGCGCAAAGCTGATCTCAATCTGCTCGTTCCTGTGCACGCTCATGCACTGCACCAGGCGGTCCCCCTCTGTTCGGGGGCGCTTACGCCCTCCTGCGATGGTGATGATTTCCACGCCGTCTTCCTCATCCCTCGCGTGATGGCGGGGCGGAGGCGCATGCCTGGGAGAAGGAGGCAAGCGTTCCCGATGGGGCGTTCGCTCCCTCCTTGGCGACCTGGATCTCCGACGTCTGGGTGTCCGAGATCTCCTCCTTGGGCTCGGCGACCCTCCTCTCTCCCCCGCCCTTTCTCGGGGATGCGCGCGCGTGTCCAGGCGGCTTCTCAAATCCCCTGGGGCCAGGTACTTGAGGCTGGCTTTGAACTCGCGACACTCTGTGGTGTCGTGGGTCGGCAGCTGGTGCCAGTCGCACCATTTCTGATCATCCTCCCTCCTTTGACGGGGGCGTGTCTCTCTAGCTTTGCCCCCTTCTCTGCGTCCTTCCTCTTTCTTCTCCGAGGCGAATACCTCGCGCCTTCCATCTCTGTTGTTGAATCTTGACTTGTAGCCGCGTCTCTTGGGTGTGCGCCCCCTTCGCCTTGGCGATCCATTCCTTCCCTTCTCGGCCTTGTTCGATGGGGGTGGCGCCCCCTTTAAAGCCTCTTCGGCGCCCAGGGCCTCTTCTAAGAGGATGACTTTTCGTACAACGCGGTCCAAGTCTTGCCACGACCTGATGCTATGTTCCTTTTTTATGAGGGCTCTCTTCAACTCTCGGCTGTGCGTCGACATTCTCAAGTTCCCTATAGCCACGCTGGTCGAAACATCTTGGATTTCGCATGCTATCGTGTTCCATCGATCATAGAAGTCCGCCAGCGTCTCCTCTTCTCCTTGTTTGCAGTTGATGAGTGCCGAGACCGTGAGCTGCCTCCTCCGCTGGGACGCGAACTTGAGCGAGAAGAGGGTGGCGAACTGTTCAAAGTTCTCAATTATCCCTGCCGGTAACGACGCGTACCAGCTCCTACATTGACCTCCAAAGGTGACCGGGAACTCCTTGCACAGGTCCGCATCTGAGGCGTTGATCAATTGCATCTTGAGCATGAACGCGCTCAAGTGATCCGACGGATCGGAGTTGCCGGTGTAAGCGGGTAGACCGAGCGACGAGAAGTTCGACGGCACTTGGGTCTTGAATAGACTTTTCGCCAGGGGGTTGTGCAGCACATTGTATCCCTTGGGCTTTCCGTAGCAGGGCCGCAGATGTTCTTCGAGGAGATCGAGGTGGGCGCCCTCTTCGCTTTCTTCGCTTTCAGACCCCCCATCTTTTGCCTGAGACGGGCTCGGTGGGGCCTCCTCCTCTACTCCTTTACCCTTGTCGTCGCGCCTCCTTGAGCCCTCTGGCTCCTCCCGGGTTTTGAGCATAGCGAGGATTTGACTCAGGCTTTCCTGCATACTGGTGATCTGCTGCCCTTGGTCCTTCACACGTTCCTCCATGTCTTTTTCTTCCTCGACGGTCGGCATCTCCAAGCCTCTGATGCTTTCTCCACCGACCACGTCTTTCACGGGAGTTCTAAAGTTCCCCTCCATCCTTTCTTCAGCGCTTCACTCTAGCCCCACGGTGGGCGCCAAATTGTTTGTGCCTAGTAGATACTAGGCGGTTTGTGAAGCTGGAGTGAGGCGTCTGTCCTTGGATTGAGGGGGGCGCTCCATATACTCTGCAAAACAGGGGTCCGGGGCGGTCGCCCGGGACACTCTCCGAAGCCTAAGTTAGAGAGAGAATATAGTAGATAGATTTAATGTAGAGAGAAGAGTAGTAGTTGAGTTTACCATTAATGCACACACTCTATATTTATACCTGTTCTAAGGGTGGTTGGGGCATTAAATGCTGTGTCGGGCGCCTCGACCCGTGTCGGGCGCCCTTGGCAGGCTTTTAGCCTTTCTGCAGGCCGCCTGTGTCCGACAATAAATGCTCAGTCTTACCTGACGTAAGATACGTATCTCCAACGGCTCCCTGCCCCTCTGCGTTGCTCAGTCACTTTATGTCAGGCGCCCTGGCTCATCCTCGGGCCTGCAGTCGGTCAGGGACCGCCTGCTGACCCGGTCTTCTGGTCGCCTCCGGGTCCTTCACTGGGCCTTGTCTGCTGGCTTGCTCCCCTTGGGCCCAAAGCCCAAATACGCTCAACTATGCGGCCCAACACTTTCTTAGCAAAACAGCCCACGAAAACCAAATCTCCCATGGTGTTTCTGCACATTCTGTTTGTGGGTCTCATTGTCCTAGTTAGTGTTGAAGCTAACATTAATGCAACAGAGAACAGTAATGGTGGAAATAATCAAGTGGCAGCAGTTTTTGTGTTCGGGGACTCTCTAATTGACACAGGGAACAACAATTACATCCCCACCATTGCCAAGAGCAACTTCCCTCCTTATGGGAAAGACTTCCTGGGAATTGAAGCTTACAAACAGCTAGGCCAAACTCAAACCACACGACACAGCCACAAACAGAGCGGAAAAGCCAAACCAGAAACGAGCAAAATAAGCAAGGCAGCTCGAAAATTGCAATAATGATTAGGTTCAAATATAATACAGTTTCACTAAGTATCCAAAATAAGCAAGGCAACTCGGAATTGCAATAATGATTAGGTTCAAATGCTACCTTATGGGAATATGTTAAATTCCTTCTCTCTCTTCTCTCTCTTCTCTCTCTGATTTTCTGAACCCTAAATCGCGCGATGGCGGTCGTCGCTGACGGTGAGGCTGCCATTGGCGACGGTCGTCAGTGGGCATCACTTTTTGGAATCCCTGAGGATAATCGTCTTGACTACTACGAGCTGGAGTTTGTTAATGGTTCTCTAAGGATTCCACGGGAGGTTGTTGAGGAAGGGGCTAAGCGTTGGGAGAACTGTTTAGTCGGTCAATTCATCGATCGACCGACATCGATTTCTTCGATAAGGTACTGGGCAAACTGGTTGTGGGGCAAGGAGGATGTGGTGAAGGCTTCTTGGACGGGCAGAAGGCTGGTGATGTTTCAATTCCCTTCGGCTGAGATATGTAAATGGGTATTTGAAAACGGACCTTGGCATCACAGGGAAAACCTCTTGTTTCTTTGGAAGTGGGAGCCTGGGATCAGTCCTCTTAAGATTGACAACACTGCGCTGCCACTGTGGATTAAGCTCTCAAATCTGCCAACGGAGTTAACCTCGAAGGAAGGGTTAGGAAGAGTGGCTAGTTCGCTGGGGAAACCGTTATGTATGGATAAATCTACTACCCAGGGTGGTAAAGTGGGTTTTGCTCAGATCTGTGTGGAGGTCAAGGCCACTGCATAGAAGGTCACGAAGCTGAGTGTTACACCTGATGGATTGCCAGAACTCTTTATTGATGTTGTGTATTGCCATATGCCAAAAGTTTGTGAGAAGTGTGGTTGTTTTGGGCATAGCTGTGCTAAGGAAGTGGAAGAGCCGCAGAAAGTATGCGTAAAGCAAAATTTGTTGATTGGTGAGGCTCAAAACAAGCAGGTCCCAGAGATAGAGGCTCAAGAAGTGGTGAGTTCGAGCTCGATTGTAGTGACTGGGATTAGAAGCTCAGAACAAGGAGCAAGAAGTTGCTGGAGTGGTGGCAGAGCACAGGGCAGGTAAAGAGATTGTCACCACAATGGGGGCACAAACTCCTTCTCCACAAAGCGGCTTAGTGGATAAGGATGGATTCACTTTGGTTGTCAACAGGAAGCAAAAGCAGAAGGTATGGGTAGACCCTGGGTCTAGCAGCAAAGGGATTCAAAGCTATTCAGATAGAAGCTCAGGGAGTCTGCATCGAGCCAGTATTGGGACTAGACCAGTGTTGAATTGTCCTCCATCTCCTCCTAAAGGGAGAGGTAGGGGGAGGAAGAGAGGTAAATGAAGTTACTCCGTTGGAATATCAGGGGATTCAATTCCCCTGATAAGCACTCAGCTGTTCTTGAGCAGTTGAGGGTGAGAAGAATTGATATTGTAGGGTTACTGGAAACTAGAGTTACAAAAGATAAAAGTAAGAAAATAAGTGAAGGTGTTTTTTCTGCTTGGCAACATACTGATAACTATGATACTTCTAAATCGGGTAGAGTTTGGATTTTTTGGAGGGCAGGTCTGAAGGTTACTCGTATAGATGAAGGGGAACATTACTTACAGATACTAGTAGAGGATACTAACCCATTCGTAGTAGTTTTTGTTTACAGTCCAAATAAAGAGGTGGAGAGGAATAGGCTCTATCAGGAGTTACTGCTTAGAAAAGATGCTAGTATTCCTATGGTTTTCATGGGGGATTTTAATGCCATTGCTGAGATCAATGAAACATCAAATGTGCAGGAGATAACCCAGAGTATGCAGGACTTTAGGGGTTGGATCAGGGATATGGAACTGATTGATCACAAGGTGACAGGAAACTGGTTTACATGGTGGAATAAGCAGCAGGCTAACCCTATTGCTCGTAGGATTGATAGAGTGTTAGTAAATGAGGCATGGTTGGAGAAGTTCATAGCAAGTTCATCTTACACAAATCCTCCTGGAGTATCAGACCATTGTGGGATGATATTGGACACTGACCCTGGGCTGAAAACACTTCCTAAACCGTTCAAATACTTCACCTTCTGGCAGGCTCACCCTAACTATGTGAATTTAGTAGAACAAGCTTGGAAGAAGAAGGTGGAGGGCTACCCCTCGTATGTTTTCTATGGGAAGCTCCATAGTGTTAAGCAGGCTCTGAAGCGTTTGAACAGAACAGTTTACTCAGACATTTCCGGTAGAGTGAAGGCAGCAGCAGTGGTATTGGAATCTGCTCAACATGAAGTATTGCTTAATCCCAATGCAGAATCAGTGGCAAAGGAGAAGAAGTTGTGTGTTGAGTATCTTGAGCTTAGGAAGGCAGAAGACCAATTCTATAGGCAGAAGGAAAGAACTCAAGCTATACAGGAAGGAGACTCGAATACAGCATATTTCCATAAAACTGTGAAAGTTAAAACTCAAAGGCAGCAAATTACTCGAATGATGAATGACATGGGTGAAATTAAGACTGATGTGCAGAGTATTGGTAAGATAGCTGTGGATTTTTATGAACAGCTGATTGGGGTTGAGGATTCTAATGTGGAGACAAAAGAAGTGTCTTACTATCAGGGTTTAATCCAGCACAGGTTATCTGATGATGAAAAGAATGAGTTGATGAGGGGTATTACACGAGCAGAGATCAAGCAGATCTTCCATTCTCTTGGCAAGGATAAGGCCCCAGGGCCAGATGGATTCCCAGCTGAATTTTACAAAGCACATTGGTTTCTTATTGGCCCTGAAGTTGAAGAGGTAGTTCGTTCTTTCTTTTCTACTGGAATAATGCCTCCTAATGTGAATAGTACAATATTTACACTGGTAGCTAAAATTCCTAGTTCTGAAAAGATGAAAGATTATAGGCCTATTGCATGCTGTAACACATTGTATAAGGGTATATCAAAATTGCTGGCCAATAGACTTGCCCTAGTTCTACCTAGTGTGATAAGCAGATCTTAATCAGCTTTCATTAAAGGGAGGTCTATAAGTGACAATATACTTCTGGTGTCAGAACTGGTTAGAGACTACCATAGGAAGAATATTTCTTCTAGATGTGTGGTGAAGATTGATATAATGAAGGCTTTCGACTCAGTAAACTGGAAGTTTCTGTTCAATACTATGGAGGCAATGGGGTTCCCAGAGGGTTTTCTTAAACTGATTTTTGCTTGTGTTACCACTCCAACTATTAGAGTAGCAGATAATGGAGGGTTGTATGGGAATATAAGGGCTGGTAAAGGGCTAAGGCAGGGGGATCCCTTATCCCCCTACCTGTTTACAATTGCAATGGAGGCTCTGGATTGTTTGACCAGGAAAGCAATGGTTGATAATCAGATTCCTTACCATCCTCATTGTAAACCTCTTATGATTTCCCATTTGTGCTTTGCGGATGATTTGATGATGTTTACCAATGGGTCAATAAGAGGGGTTGCTGGCATTAAAAGATTAATGGATAGCTTTTATAAGCTATCTGGATTGAGATGCAACCCAGCAAAATGTCATCTTTTCTGTGCTGGAATCCCTAAGGAAGAGATGCTTGCTATATCTGAATTTACTGAATTCCCTCTGGGGATACTTCCTGTAAGATACTTAGGAGTCCCATTTATCATAGGAAAACTAACTAGGCAGGACTGTAAAGTGCTGGTAGATAAGATAACACAAAGATTGAGAAGCTGGAGGTCAAAGCTATTAAGCTATGCTGGGAAAATTCAGCTCATATCAACTGTCATCTCAAGCACCCTTCAGTATTGGCTTAACATCTTCTTACTGTTATTAAGGAGGTGGAAAGATTATGTAATGAATTTCTGTGGGATTCTGCTGAGGATGGCAGTAGGAAAAAAGCAGTCATGGCTTGGGAAAAGTTGGCAACTCCTAAGAAGGAGGGTGGACTTGGCATTAGGAACTTTGGAGTATGGAATAAAGCGTGTGTTTTGAGGCATTTATGGGAGATTCTTACTCTGGGGGGGGGGGGTCTATCTGGGTTGCATGGGTATCAAGGTACAGGTTGAAGGATAAAAGCATCTGGGAAATCTCAGCTGCTTATGCTGGGACGTGGATTTGGAAAAGGTTGTTGAAATGCAGGGCAGTAGCCTATCCTTTTGTTTCTGGCAATGTGAGCAGTATACTGTGGTTGGGGGAGCAAATGAAATGGTTCTCAGTGTCTAGAGTGTGGAATGACATAAGGGAAAAAAACCAGAAGTGCAGTGGTGGAGATTAGTCTGGGCAAAGGAAGTCATTCCTAAGCATGGATTAATTCTGTGGCTTGCTATTCATGGGAGATTAGTTACTCAGGATAAGCTCTTGTTCTGGGGAAAAAATGTTTCTGGTTGCTGTCTGTTATGTCCGGGGGGTGTGGAGAGCAGGGAACATTTACTGATTTATTGCTCTTACTCATTTTCTGTTTTGAAGCTTTGTATGAAAAGTCTTTCTCCACCAGATGTAGGAAGCTGGGAAGCAACAGTTGCTTTTTGCGCAAGGGAATGGAAGAAGCAGACTGCTAGGTCGAGAATTTGCAGAGTGTTGTGGAGTGCTGCTGTGAGCCACATATGGCATGAGAGGTGCTCTCGAATGTATGGGTCTAAGGTAGTAAATGATCCTACTGCGTTGGTAAGGTTGATACGTGAGGAAGTTGTCTATCGAGTATGTGAAGATCCTGCCCTTCAGCTAGAGTAAGATAGTATGCAGTAAATATGTAGATAGTAGCAGTTTTGTATGCTTTGCTACATTTTCGTTGTAAGCGTTTGAGAGGCGCTGCAGGGTTCCCTCTGTAAGTGGCCTGGTCTTAATGCTATTTTTGATTTTACAT